CTTTAGAGATCGTCGCATGAGAAAAAACCGCCGGGGTGCACGATGCTGCGCTCGTGGCTTTTCAAAAAGAAAGAGAAAACAAAGTCTGCGTACAGGCTATGTGCCGCTTATCGGTAAAATCATGGTTTATTTGACGAAACTATAAAAAAAGATTGTAGAACAGGCACCAAGGCACAACTCGAGTACTTTCTATGTTCCTTGTAGCCTTTGCCACAGACGACGTTACTAAAGTTTTGGTTAAGTCCTTCGGCGAAACAGCGCCAAAATTATCTTTCTGGGCCCCCAGTTGTGTGCCAGGGTTTGAGTACCCGCTATGTGTGGCTTCTTATAGATACCATTTTCGATTTGTCAATCAGGTTGATGAGAAATTCGAAACGCGTGTCCGGTAATTCGTTGAGTTCTTTGAGGGCTCAGGACAAGTACTTCGGTCCTACTTCATGGACGTTACTAACCAGGACGCAGGCTATGTTCCTTCTCATATCCGCGAGTCCAGTTATATTCTACATAACGTTTATCAGTTTTAAATGAAAGAAATAACCAAACAGTATTTCAAAGTCAAACCTGCGGGGTTTTTCTTAAAGAGTTTATCTTGTAGATTAGGGCAAGCGTCAAAGTCATAAGTGCCCTACGGGAATTTTAGACAGTAAACATAATTTCGCTTGGCTTCCTTTTTCTCTTATTTCAGGATCTATTTCTGGCCTTATAAGGTGGTCAACACCACGTGATGATGGTGACGCAGTAGTGAGCGGTTACCAAGTATTTGTAGATGGTAAACTTCACGGAGAGCCACTACCACGATCTGCTTTAGAAACCCACGTTAGGGTGAGAACTCTATCTGCATTCTGTGGCTTGTCTGACAATAGAGACCTTTAGATTCGAGGACAAGAGCAACAACGAGAGCGAAATTTAACTCGACTTAAGCCCTCTCCTGGTCGCAGAATGATAAAACTTCTAACATTTCCATATGCGACTACCTCTCGTAACGGACCACCTCCCATAAGCGACCACCAATCCAAAACACGAAAACTTTCCGCGTCAAAGCCTTACAGTTGGAACTTCTAGTAAACGACCACCTTCTGTAAGCGACCATCACCACTTTTTGGGCCTGACGGTTAATGATTTTCCATTGTTTTTAACCTCTAGTAAGCGACCTTTTGATGCATTCTCTAATCTCTATGTTCGCTGTGTACGCTTTGCTACTTATAATATACGAAGAACTTTAGTGACAACATGGAGCTACAAATGTCGTAACTTAGACATTGCATGCAATAAATTATCTTCCTTAAAGTAGATGTGCCTGGACCTCTCCTCGGAAGAAGCGGCCCTGTGGTTCGATTCTTCTAAACGACCACCTCCCGTAAGCGACCACTCAGCCTTTGCATTTTGGGTAGTCGCTTACGGGAGGTTCGACTGTAATTCCAAACTGACCGCCTCGTTGTTCTCCTGCAGCTTCCGGTAACGTGTCGTGTTATTGCTGTCCAAACACTCACTGATCATCCAGTTGGACCGAGTCCTCTCTCTAATTCTGTTCAACTTTCTGGTCATGAATTTCTTCCTTTCGTAATGTTCTGTTATTTTGATGCACACGTGCGCGGCGAAAGGTGAGTTAAGAAACAAAAAAAGTACCTCTTACTTTTCTTTGTAAGTGATCACTTTCATTCGGTTTTGTGAAGATAAAGTAAGGCGGAGAAAGCCCATCTTTCTGTTTTGAACTTGTTTGCTTCTATCAAGCGCGTTTGAGGCAGTGAACAGGTGATACGGTTTTACATGTAGACTGGAAACAAAGGGTCGGTAGCAGTTAACTCCTGGACCCAGCTGTTTGACAGGTGGAAATCGCTATCCACTGGATAAATCACTTTCCAGTGGAAAACCCAATTGGTTTTCCCAATACCTATCCGCTAAATAGAGATTTATCCAGTAGATAGCGTTATCCAACGTTTGAACAACCGGGGCCTGTTCCTGATTTTTTCTTTCCCCAAAGGTTATCGCTTGATACGAGATAAACGTAGCCTGCGAGCGAGCTCTCTTGGGTGCTCTGGCGGCGGGGCAGGAAAAGGAAGTAGAGCTTTCAACTACGTCTCTGGAATTTGAATATCTACATCGAAAAAAGTCAATGCAAAAGGCTTATTGGTGGAGATTACTATAGTAATGACGTCAATTATCTTGGCACGAGTTTTTCAATGTTTGTTTACATTCGCGCTCGTTTCCGCTTCACGATGATTGGCGGAAATCTGACAGCTCAGTCGACGGGAAGCCACAGGGGAATTGGAGGTGCAATTCAAATTCCAGAGACGTAGTTGCAAGCTCTCCTTCCTTTCCCGCCCCGCCGCCCGAACGCCCCGGAGAGCTTGCCCGTAGGCTTAGATAAACTGCATAGTGAAAACCACGTTAAATTATCGAATGATATTCTTTTTTAATGCACAGGACCTCGATACATTCCCAGTCCATTGGCACTTCGTTATATCGGGTTCTTCTTTATCTCTATTTNTATTCTTTTTTAATGCACAGGACCTCGATACATTCCCAGTCCATTGGCACTTCGTTATATCGGGTTCTTCTTTATCTCTATTTCCTTTCTAGTTGGCCGAGATTTGGCTGCTGCAGTTGGGACGATTCTCACTCATTTGAGCTCAAGCAAAGAGGCAGGACCTCCTGTCGGGTGTTTATTCCCCGAGGGGTCTTGTCTCGTAGAATCCCTTGCCCGGCCTTCAATGTAGTAGACGTGTTCAGCAGACTGTGGAGACCTTTGGCACCTGCTGGTATCAAGAAGATGACTGTCTTGTTGTTTTGGACGAAATGGTAAAGTAAATTTTTTATAACTACTGTGATTTACCCTTGAAACGTCGTACATCAGCGAAGTTAATTGTTTGATATTCAGCACCACTGAGCTTTTTCTCTCGCAGAAGTTTCCCATTGGCCTTTTTGAAGTTATGCGTTAGATTGGATCAGTGTTAAGTCGAAACGCATCATGGGATTCTTTTAAGGGCGCTATCTGGTCTTGTATTGGTTACTACGTGGTTACTTAGGAAACGTGGTCAACTTCGTATCTAAAAGAGTCCCATAATGCAATTCAGCACTAAACCAACCCCGTACACACGCCCAACCTCAGAGTGGCTTTTTTATTTATCTAGTGTTGTACACCGTAAATTTTCATCGTATCTCTCTTCCTTAAAATGTAAATCAGCACCTTCCGACCGCTTACTACCGTTATTCAGGGTGTAAGATTTAACGAGAATAGCCGAATTCCCTAATGGAGTTATTTGACAGGGATTTCCGCATAAGTTGTTTTGAAATCTTTTAAAGTGTTTGTCTATTCTTGTTATTTCAGGTGTTTATCGTCACAAAAAGTTTTAGAGTATTTCCTAAGATTTGCGGAGGAATTCGCGGACAAGGTACGTCTGCCTGGAGGCTCATTGTGTTTTGTTTATTCACTGTTATTTATGTCAGCCTAACATTTATACAGCACGATTTATTTTATCAAGAGAGCAACAAGCAATTTTATTCACCGCAAAGAAATAAATTATTAACTATATGGGCACGGCAGTTGAAAGCGGAAAATCAAAATATGCTCCATATGCATCCTTACGACTACGAAATATATCTTTTCAGCTTTAGTCTGCTCTATTAGTTGCCTCTTTGATGCTGTGTTTTTCCCTAGTTTTCGTTTGTCACCTGCTGCGTGCGAAGCGAAGAAACTGTTACGTCTCATCGCCAATCACTCGCAGGCATGCTGACCGAGCGAGACTGGCGCAGAAGTGTTGACTCCGTGACGCATACTTGCGGCTGCTATCTTCAGAGCCAGCGGAGTCGCTCTGCGCGGCGTGGTGTTATAACCGACCCGGATGTTTGTCAGCTGTTTGGTTTAGTTGGAGTACCGACCATTATTTTGTTGGATAGTTCAGGTAAGCCAGATCAGTAGTGCTGTAATCACACGAGAGTTGGCTTACGGAAGTGTCTAAATGCTTCCGAGATACTGGTCTCTTGAAGACGCCCGACAGGATGCTCCTCAGAAATACCGTAAAATTCCGAAAATAAGCCCCTCCAAGTATAAGCCCCTCCAAATATAAGCCCCCCAAACCGGTAAAGCAAAAAACCCTCCGTTAAATCGCCCCTCCAAATATAGGCCCCCGGGGACTTGTACTTAGAAAATTTCCCTCAAATACAAAGTAAAACAAAGCAAAAACGGTAAATTTACTTCCAACTATAAGGCTAGCCAAATCGATTTTGAAACGCAAATTTCCCTCCGTAGATTAGCCCCTCCAAATATAAGCCCCTCCAAAAAAAGCCCCTCAAAAAGGGCCTTTGAAAAAAATATATGCCCCGGGGCTTATTTTCGGAATTTTACGGTAGTTTGCTAAAAGAGTGTGGCTTAACTCAATGCATCATTTGCATTTAATGCGCATTCACTTTGCATTGCATTTTGCATATGGAGTACGACTGTGTACTTTATTTAAAAAAAAACTGTTGTAGTTTCATACATTTAAATACTGATTAATAGGTTTGTTAATTTGCAGGTTACATATCATGGCATGGCCGATGTATTTGTCAAGATGCATTAGCTTTTCGATCTCTCCTGCTACATATATTTTCTCAAGTCGAACCGTCACCTTGCCCAGTTCCTACTTGTTCACACTGCGAACTTGACAAAGAAGACGAACTCGACTCAAGTTCTTTCGAAGTGGACGAAGCGGACGAAACTTCTCAGGGTCGTCTTCGAAAGCCGTCCGCTGAGCTAAATTCTTTGTATCAAAGACTTCATGGTTCTACCCGAAAGGATGATCTCTTTACCTTTCCAAGAGACTCGACGCCTCCAGGGGAAATAAAAAAGGAACAGATCAGGCCTAAAACTACCGGTACTGGTAGTCGTTCCGCTAGTTACAACCGATTTAGCGGAATGAGTGAGCAGTACACTTTATATTCTCGTACTTTCAGTGCGTATGGTGCTGCCACTCGTCCAGTTACCTCGAGGCCATCGTCTGTTGTAGCACGGTCGCGTACGCGCACACCACAAAGTACTTCCCATTCCTCCTCAGGTGAATTTCCTCTCCCGTCTGTCCCTCGGCAACGAGGCAAACGAACGCATCCGCTGGACAGAGGGTTGTCGCCGAGAATGAAGGCAAAAATATCAGTGGAAGATTTTGCTCCCAGGTGACAACGTTTGGGTGGGTGAACAGGGCTAAGGAAAGAGGGAGAGCTGTAGATAATAGGGAGCTTAATTAACGACGACGACGACGACGACGGCAGAGTAGACGTCGCGAAAAAGTTAAATTTTCAAACTTTATCGCGTTTGTTTGGACCTGCTCAATTTGTCAAATGTATTCCATTTCTCCTGGAGTTGAATTGTTAAGGACTTTGTATCCAGGTTCAAAACGAGAATGAACAATTCGTTGTCGTATGTTTACGTCCCCGACAAAACGACGCATTAGGAGGTTTCACGTCGTAGTCGTGCAGTGCGCATTAAGAAATTCTCTAAATGCATTGACCAAATTACTTTCGGCACGATCTCTGCTGCAACCAATAAGAATAGTGATGAATTTATATATTATTGATATTTAGTTTATTACTCGTCATTTTGATCAGTCATCCTTTTATCTTTCATTTGCATAGTCTAAGGGCCTGTTTACATGGAGGTGGGGGATCCCAGTTAGGTGAGGTAACCCGCTTAGGTGGCGTAACCCACCTGTCCATATAATCTCTCATTTTAATTTGATCACGTTTACATGATAGGTGGGATGACCCGCCGCATGTTACCTCACCTATCTGGGGCCCCCCACCTCCATGTAAACAGGCCCTAAGTTAACTTAATTGCAATTTATATATTTATTTTTACATAGTCATCTTAAGCTTATCCATTTATTTATGTATTATTTGTATTTATAATTATTTATATTAGGATAAATTTTTAGATGTTAATTCATTATAGTGTAAAGTAGATAGCGGGTCCACATCAGCAATAGCTGCCATTTATTCAACCTGCTTTATCAAATAAAGGATGTATGTATGTATGTACATCAAAGAAATGTACTAAAAAGCTTGATGCACGTGTGGAGCTGTTGTTTTAGTCATTCAATCTATTGTTTTTGACGTTGTCGTCATCGTCGTGGTAGAGAGTTGCCCGTACCTTCCTTGTAAACGCTCTGCTTGGGATAACTCGCCTACCCGAGATAACTTTCCTCCGTCATGCGTGACCAGTAATCTTGACAATTTGAACGGAGCTATTCAATTTCTGAGCTAAATTATAAACATCTGAACAATATAAGGTATTTTCTGTATACGATGATAATATTTTCCCGTTTTTCGTGAATTTAACGTGTTTTCTGTAGAGAACTTTAAGTTTTATTTCAAATCTTGGACGTTGCAAAGAATGTTACGCATGACGAAACGCGTCAGTAAATCTGGTAAAGTTGACCCGGGTGAGAGGGTAACCCTATCCGTGAAATTTGTTTGTAAACCAGAGCTAACTTTAACCCGCTTCCTAGGGTAACCCTGGCACAAGGGTAACCCTCTCTCCTTGTAAAAAGGCCTTAAGCCCCCTAATCTAAAATCTCATTCACGTGAGTATTGACCACGTCGTCAAAGTCCCTGCTAGTTGATGGCCCTTAGGCTCTTGTGGCCTTTAGAATCGACGAGTTCATTTTCTAGAAAGAAAGCGACTTTTTGCATGCTATGATTGTGGGTGTTTCTTGTTTCCGTCGCTCTGCCTAAATTACTCCTGTCGTTGAGGCTAGTGAGGAATTAGAACTGGCGAACAGTCGAGGCACAAGGGAGAAATCGCCCCATGTAAGCGAATCCAAGACAGTCGTGGATTCTGGATCCACGCCGTGGATTCTTGAGTCCTTGTCAGTGGATTGGATTCCGGATTCCAGTCGTTAGGGGGATCATTTCGGATTCAGGATTCCTCAATCAAAAATTCACCCCGGATTCTATAATTCGATTTCCCTTACATGGGGCGGGGCAAATGTTATTTTATACCTGCATATTTCTATATTCTATTTGAAGGCGAGCCAGCGACTTCTTTAGGCCCCACGCACAAGGTGCAAGATGTTTGTTTACAGATTAACTATTAGTCGACGTGTAATGTGTTGGAGCAGTTAAGAATATCACACTACATAGTGATTAGTGTGTATTACGAGTGATATTGTTTTTAACTCTATCGTCCAATCGACGTTAAAGAAGAATAGATAGCAATGTAAATTATGTTTATTGATATCATTTTGTATAAAGGTATTTTCTGTAATCGAAGAAGTAACATTGACAAAAGTCTGTTCTTATCTTTAGTCTGCAGTCTGCTTGCACTCCCTTATTTCGCATTCAATTGTCGAGGTCGAATGCTGGGCTAGACAGGATTCAAAATTTGTTTTCATTAAATTGCCCGAGGGGATGGGCTTAAGAAATTACCTACCACCTGTAGCCCCACGGATTTTTTTTGTACTCTTCCCCGATCGAACTCAACGATCGATCTCGTCAACAATCGCGCAGAAAATGGGCCCTAAAAACAGCTGAATTATGACAGCAAACCACCAAAGAAACAGGCGAGTTCAGTTTTTCCAAAGTAAAATAAGTACGGTAGGGGCCTCTGACCAGTTGTGGGGGCTTTTGTGGCCGAGCGGTAAACTCCGGATCTGGAGGTACGTGGTTCAGGCCTCGCCCGTCGCGTTGTTTTCTTAGACAAAGAACTTTTCTCCACTTTGTCTCTTTTCATCCAGGTGTATAAATGGGTACCGGCGACATGCTGCTGTGGGGTATTACCCTGCGATGGACTTAGCATCCCGTCCAGGGGGGAGTAGCAATACTCCTAGGCATGCTTCATGATAAGGAAACCTGGATAAGCTCCGGCCGTTTGGCCCTTTGGCTCGTGTGCGCCTTTACCTTTTTACCTTTTACTGAAAGGACCTTTTTTCGTAAGTTTTCCGACTCAGCACGCATGTTTTTAAGACAAAGAAAACTCTAAAATGTCCCACTCTAACGGAATATTTACACCCCAACAATTTTTTAATTTTAACTATTGTATGGCAGGGTTGTAAGATTGCATGTAAACGCGGTTTATTTCACTCCCTGGGGTTCCCCGCCTCCATGTGAACAGGCCCTAAGCCCCGTGCAAACGGACGCAACATTGTTGGCCAACAACTCTCAACATTGTTGGATGTTACATGTTGCGTCTGTTTGCACACCCTGTTGCATGTTGCTGCATGTAGTTGGGAGTTGTTGCGCAAAGTTTGAAACCGGTCAAACTAGAGCGTTTTCACATGACGTCACGGCGGCTATATTGGTGTTCCAAAACAACGAAACTGCGTCATGTTGGTGTAGCGAGAAAATCCTTTGGGAGTTGAACTCTTTTCTTATGTAAACGCTTTCTTTTGTCCCAATATATTTGCATAGATGCTTACCATTTGAGTGAAAACGCTCTGTGTATGGTAAACTTCCTTTAATTCTAATTAGATGTATATGCCAACAAGAATTGAATTTCGGCTAGTGCAATGCTGACTGTAGTTGAAGACTTCGCTTGTTCACTGAACCAGAGTTTATTTACCAGAGGGATGGAAACTGCGGAAAAGGGTGAGTACCTCTCAGTTTTTAGTTTTGTAACTTTCATGTTCAGTGAATATTCTGAAACCATTTTCCGTCGCCAGTAATTACTGGGGACGATGAGTGCTTTTAAAATTTCCTCGAACTGCATGCATGAGCCTTACGACGGTCGTAAATTTTCTTATAATAAGTTTATATGGATAAAATTGAATAAATTCATTTTAATAAACAGTCGTTATGTTAAGCTCGGATGGATACTCTCCCTGAAGCCTTTTTTTCAGCCACTCTGACATATAAATAATCAGAACTTAGAGTCTTTCAGCAGATATCGTCATCACCAAAAACAAAACAAAGGAACCAAACAATAGAGTCCCCCTGGGGGCTTAATTGTTTGGTTGTATTGTTTCTTTTGTTGTAAGTTATCTGCCCCTCGGTACCTATAGAAGGAACCGAACTTTATACGTGCTTGATGATGATGATGATGATGATGATAAACTTTATTTCAGTGTCAGGTCTTCTAGCTGGCCATGTAAGGCCTACTAATAGGGGACGCTAAATTAAAATACTATTAGCTCTAACTAATTAATATAAAAATATATTTACAAAGAATAAAATTTGCAAAAATATACACACTAAAAAGTATCGATAAAACGTATTCGGATTCATCATATAAAATAATACTTATTGATTAAAAGGTATCCTTTTTGTCTAGAAAATGTCATTTATGTACAACATAGAAAGCAGTTTTTACAGCCCTCTGTGATGACTTTTTCAAGATCTACCTTACGAATTTTCTTTTTAAAGCTGTAAATTGATTCTGCGTTTTTGTCAACTGTTTGCTGCCTCTACTTTTCGCTCCTACAGAAGATCAAAAACAGATATGATAGTGTTAACAACCTGGTCAAGTTGTTTTCTTCGATATAATTCAAGCTATACCTTCCCAACAAGGTAAGGGAGATTGAGGATATTGCATGGCCGCGCGGAGATACGAATGATTTTTCTTCGAGTGTTGAAAGTATACATTTAACGAGTGAGCCAGCCGCGAACGAGTCTGAGTGAAATATTTTCTTCATGAGAAGAGAAATTTCGTATCTCCAAGCAGCCATGTAATGTACTACTTATCATATAAACACCAATGAAATACCAAACCATTTCACTTTAATATTTTTTTTGCAACGGTGATCTTTTTACGTGTGAAGATATTAAACATGTTTGCGCGCGAAAGCTCACCTGTTACTTCCTTGGTGTTTATATAATATAATTAGCAATTAATCCACGAGGGCGCATTAGATATTCTTTATTTCTTAAAATGCCGCCTAGTAATTAAATTGCCCGTGGGGGGAAATCTCTATCCCTCATAAGCTCGGCTTCTCGGAGATTTCCCCGCCACAGTCACTCCTCCCAAGTAATGCACAAATTTTAAATTTAATGTTAATTAACCTATTTATTATCGTTTTTATTCTGCTTGTAATTCATTGTGTGTGGCAAAATAATAAAATAAAATAAATAAATAAAATAGATATGAGATGGTAGCAGCCAACGAGGCGCGTAGCGCCGAGTTGGCTATAATCATCTCATATCCAACAAGCGCGAGTGGAATAATTGTTTCATTAAAAACGCCTACAAAATATCGAGAATTCTTCCCGACTTTATTTGTAAAAATAAACCGATTTTCAGCTTGTTTTTAATTTTGAGCAGACGTGTACAGTTAGCATGTTTGGAGAGCATGGGATAATGGCTCATATAAGGTGGTAGCTTAAGCCAATCAGATCTCTAGAATTTTTAATAATAGGGCGTTGTCCCACAGTCGTAGCCTGAGAAAACAGCCGACATTTCACGATGCCACCTCTGGTTTCCCCTCAAAATGACGTCTGAGAAACGGGCGCAGAAATTCCATACTAATGACGCGTAACTACAAAGATCTGGGTAGTGCTTTTGATTGATGGTGCCACGTGGGACATTTGCCTCAGCCAATCAGAAGCACTACCCAGATTTGGGTAGTAATGCGTTATCAGTATGGAATTTTTGCGCTCCTTTCTCAGACGTCATTTCGAGGGAAAACCAGAGGTGGCGTTGTGAATTTTCGGCTGTTTTCTCAAGCTACAACAGTCGTAGCTAAATGACAACGTATGTCCAGCTATGACAAAAGAATTCGCAACAAGAAATGCAATTAAAAGTTGGCCAAGTCTTCTAGGTCGGCGGTCACTAATTTCACGCATTTTAAATTCATTGTTGTTCTTTGAAATAAGCAGATTGAGAGGACTTAATAAAATGTCGGCAGTGGATCTGTATGAATTGCGTTCGGAAAAACTGGCTGCACGGTAAAGTGGTTTAATTCGTCCGCGACCACAGCCGTGGACAGTAGGGCCATTTATACGAGGAAAAATAAGACGCGTCTAAGACGCGTCTTAGATAAGATGCGTCTTAAATAAGACGCGAACTGTACCATTTATACGAGCATGTCTTATCTAAGACGAGAGCAGCTCGTATAAATGGTTCGCGTCTTATTTCTGTTCTTGACTCGTTTTCATGTATATGTTGCCCGTAGCAACTCCAATCCAACGTAGCAAAAATTAACGCATGCGTACTATGCGTTCGCGTCTTATTTAAGACGCGAAGGTCATTTATACGAAGTTTTTCTCGTCTTAGCTAAGACGCGTCTTATCTAAGAACAGGTGTTAAGGGCTGTTCTAAAATAAGACGCATCTTAGCTAAGACGCGGCTTATTTTAGATGAAATGTGCCGTCTATACGGAAAGTTCGCGTCTTATTTAAGACGCGTCCTATGTAAGACGCGTCTTATTTTTCCTCGTATAAATGGCCCTAATGTTGTTTGAATCAAAGAACGTTACGAGCCAGAAGTCTTTTCTTCTACTCATCTTAAAAGCGAAGGAAGACTGCTTAAAGGGAGCTTTGCATCATAAAACTGGTCCAACAACCACGACGCCGAAGTGTACGCTCCTTAGCGTCTTGTTGTTTTTATATGATTATCAGCAACTACTTACCTTCCGGCCAAGTTCAGAGTGACGTCATCTCCAATAAGAATAAACGGGGCCCAGAGTCGCAACTCACTAAACTGTTCAGATTCCCTCATGTAGTTCATGGTCCGATTAAGAGCTTCACTCGCACTTCGTCCCTCCACTAAAAACTTGTAGAAACTTTTCATAAACTCCAGAGTTGCTTCGTCGTCAATGGCCCATAGGGATACCAGAACAGATCGAGCACCGGCGCCCAGGAACGCTCGTGCAATGCCAACCACACCCTCAGTCTTTACCTCTCCACGACCACTGTGACAGCAGCTTAGTACAACTAGTTTCGCTCGAATCTTCACGTTTAAAACGTCAGTCATTGTCAAGAGAAAATCTTCCTCTGTGGGTATCGGAGATGATCGTATAGGATTTGGTGCCAAGACAATTTCTCCAGTTTCCATACAACCGTGCGCTGCGATGTGTACCAAGGACACTGAGGAGAGACTTTTCAAAACTTGTGTTTTTGTTGCCTCCGTCCCAGTGAGAGGCATGGTGTTAGTTATTTTTCCGATCATTTTTACTTCTTTTTCTGCACATGAAAGCTGTTGAAGTTTCCTTCTCCCACGGAAAACAACTTCTTGCACGCATGGATCTCCTACAAGCAAAGCTCCAGTTTCCCTGTGATAACCCACTGGACAGTCTGCGAGGATTTTCAAACAATCTAAGGAAGGAATCATTCGGATTCTGAAAGTCTCACAAAGGTACTTTGACCTGGGTGTCATGAACGCAGCATAAGGAACCAACCACAATGGGCCGTCTGGAACAATGACAAGTTCATCGCTGCTTATCAAATCTGCTATGGGACTAACAGCAATGTCATACAAGACTTTCAAAGGATTGACCTCACGCGCCATTGAGCAGGCCTCGGACTGGTCCGTGTCTATCCATTCACTATCTTCTAGCCTTTTCAATGAACGATCCTCACATTTCACACAAATCCTAACACCGATATCTCTACGGACACTTTCCGTCAACGAAGAAAGATAAGATTGCGCATAATCTGGCGAAAAACCGTCACTGATTTTCTTAATCCTGCAAGTAAGTGACAATTTTGGACCTTTTCTAGTGACCCAGAAAATAACTTGTTCGCCATAAACTGCCGTGAAAGCCACATTTGAAGGAATAGTACTAGATGCCTGAAGTATGGTTTCTTCCAAAGAACGCGTATGTACACTAGTGAAAGGTTTTTCCAGGCTATAGTTCAACTTCATGAGATCTCGTAATGCCTGTGCACGCCCTTGGTTTGCTGCCGACAAAGCCTCAGTCACCTTGCCTTGTTGCAACAGTAGGAGCCATAATCTAGTGTAAGCTCTTTTGTACATATGGCGAAAGGTAATCTTCAAGGCATCGTTTAGGTAAATAGAAGCCCTAACTTCGTTGAATATGTTAACGCTGGACTGGTAACATTTACAGGATTCTTGCAGAGAACCCGCCGATTCAAAACTGCGACCAAGACCGAAATATGCTTTAGCCTCTCCAACCCTGTCATCAACCTGTTGAGCAATTTTTAAATGCTTTTCATGACATTCTTTCGCCTTTTTGGGATCACCAAGATCTGTGTATACAGACCCTAGATGTCCATACTCGATCCCTATACCGATACTGTCTTCAATGCGCTTAGCAAGTTTCAGGGATCGGTTGTGGTATTCTAATGCAATTTGTAGATCTCCCAGGTCATAATAACAGCGACCCAGTAACGAATACGCGCGTTGCTCTCCCTCCGCGTCTCCAACTTCTTTGGCAACCTTGAGTTGACACTCTAGGCAATGTATAGCTTTTTCGAAATCTCTCAGATGGGAGTAAGCAACAGCAAGATTGCTATTTGCTTGTCCCTCTTTTTTTTTATTTCCCAATTTTGCAACAAGTTTTAACTCAGATTTGTGGCATTTTACGGCTTTTTGGAAATTTCCGAGATGAACATAACTACTGCCAAGACCAGAATATGCAGATGCCTGTCCTTCCTTGCTTCCAAGTTCTGTTGAAATTTCAAGGCAGCGTTGGCAGTAGTCAAGAGCTTGATTAAAAAATCCAAGAAGGCCATAAGCATTGCCGAGACAAGAATATGCAGAGCACAATATGTACCTGTGCGGTTCTCCAATTTCTTCATTAATGAGAAGTTTTAGACAGTTTTCCTGGTATTTGATGGCCTTTTTGCATTCTCTGATACACTGGTAGGCATTGCCAAGATCATGGTACGCCACGACTTGTCCAGCCCTGTCATTCAGCTCTGTGGCAAAAGTCAAATGAAGTTCATGACATTCGATTGCCTTCCTAAAATTGCCGATACACTGGTACGCTTGGCCAAGGTAAAAGTAAGCTTTTTTTTCATTCTCCCTGTCACCCACTTCTTTAGAAATTTGTAAATAAAGCCGATAGCAGTCAATTGCCTTTTGAAAATTACCCAGACGGTAATGGTCGTTAGCAAGTAACTTATATGCCTTTCCTTCCCCAGCTTTATCGCCCATTTCTATTTCGCCTTTTAAATAAAGTTTGTGACACTCTAAGGACTTTTTGAAGTCTTTGTTTTTGTAATAAGCCTTCCCAAGACACTCATAGGCAACTCCTTTCAGACTTCTCTTTTCTAAGGTTTCGGCAATTTTTAACAGTCTTTCATAGTAGTAGAAAGCTGTTTTTGGGTCTCCTGAACTATTGTAAACGCAGCCAAGATTTGTGCAAGCCGCAAATTCCTGAGCCAAGTTTTCCAGTTCTTCAGCAATGCTTAATTGGAGTTTATAGCACTCAATCGCATGAGGAAAATTTTTTGAAAGGTCATAGACGAGACCGAGGTTTCCATACGCCCGCCCTTCCTCAGCTCTATCTCCCTCTTCTTTGGCAATCTCTATAGCGTGCTTCAAGGAGCTCATAGCTTTGTCGAGGTCACTGCTGCAGTGAGCATAATTTGCACCTTTAACTGAGGTTTCTTCTTTAAAACTGTATTCTACTTCTTTTTTCTTAGTTTTAGGTGAGAAGCAACTTTCACCCTGTAAAAACAAAAGAGTACAGAGACAAACAATACATTACTGCCATGCATTTATTTTATCTTTTGTTCTACAACGGCTACCTGATTGGTTTACTATTCACTGAGAGCGGTCAGCAGGCGCAAAAATTTGGTAATCACGCGACCGTACACCGACCGACCCTCCGTCCGCACCACACCACACCACAGGCATACCAATTTTAAAAAAACTCAATCAACAGGTATGGCAACCCAAATGTAACTCGAGGTTATTTTGGCGCGAAATCGCATAGCCACATGCTAGTATCATGCAAACGAACAGAGTTGCAAAACAAGAGGGGTTTTTCGCGTTTTTCGAGCGAACGAAGCGGGAATGGAGCTCGAGACACGCGCGACTGGGGAAGGCGCAGAAAAAATAACGTTTCATTTTTTCTGCGCCTTCTCGCGTCGCGCGTGTCTAACACTCCTCCGGCGCTTGACTTCACTCGCCACAAAAAAGCGAACAAAAAAGCCTGTTCTGCAGGCTATAACCAATACAGAGCCACAAGAAGGAACCGGGGTGAACTTGCACCCGCTGACAGTTAGAAGAAAATCTGATTAAAAGCAAACGTGTCTGAAGTAATATGAGGTATTTGAGATGAGTAAACGGGCAATATATCAAAAGGTAAAAAATGATATCTCATTTGCACCAGTATTCGCCGATTCTAATGAACCACATAAACGCTCTGCAATACATGATAAGAGAGCTCCACATCTGCGCTGTATTCTGCACTACGTAGCAGGTTTTGCATCTTCCGATCGCGAAGCTGTCCCAACTATGACACATTGGCGTCACACAATAATGATTTCAGTAGTGCAGAACTAGAGAGCCCGAACCCGCCCAGGCAAATTAGCCGTTTTAAAGAGAATTTTAGTACATTAGGCGCTCCTTCTCGGGTGTAATTGTGAAGGTCATATTACCTGCTTTCTAGTGCTTTCAATGATAGCTGTGGCCTTACAGGCCAGAAGTGTTGGGTTGTCTTTGTTGATCTTTTAAACGTTAAGTTTATTTAACTTTATAGAGGATAAGATTTTTTTCCATTCTTTATAAAATCAGAACTGAGTGGAAAGGGTGTAAAAGAGCTGTTCGTGTCTTTAGTTTCTTGTATCGTGAATCAGATCATTTACATTTCATTCACAGGGAAAAAACAGCTACTTATCAGCTATGTAATATCAAAGAAGTGAACAAAAACGCTGACAACTGAAGTCTCCTGACTCTAAGCAAAACTGAAGCAAATCCAAACAAATCAAAGCAACACTATTTTCTGGAAACCATTTGTTGTTGTTGTTGTTATTGTTACCTGACCCTCTTACCTTTACTTGCTAGATTGCTTTTCTTATTATAGAGTATTTAAGAGTAGTTATTAACTTGATTTATTATTCATTCAATCCTCGATTTGATTGGCTAAAAGCACACGCATAATTCACCATATCCAGTTTCTGAATTTTGTGTTTAATGAGGAAATGACGTCAAAAATGCAACGTTCGTGCAGGTTAAGGCACCGTTAACCGAGAAAACCTTGGGACGAGGTTGAGTTGTTTTGGTTGTGAACTTGAAAAATGGCGGATATTTCACTCGTTTCAAGAGTAAGAACTAGGCGAAGAAATAACTAAAAACGTGACAAGAACAGCGAGAAGACAACTCGAAGGTCGACATCTGCTATTTGGAGAATATTTGCGGAGCTGGACAAAAATAAACGTGCACTATCGAAGATGAACTTAACATCGATGGATCGATGGAGGTAAGCGTGTTTTAGCCATGTTTTTAAACTAGCAATTATTTTGACTGAATAATAAAACAATCATTGAATCGGCTTTCGAATCATATGAAGAATTATGGAGATCTCGGAGGGTGTTATCCGCCAAAGATACTCAGCCTCATTCGTTAATTGTTAAATATCCAAGCTTCGTACCAAGAAGTAATAGAATTGTACTTTTGCCTAGGGCTCAACAGATCAAGGGAAGGGGTTGATAAAATCTCAGAGGGTCTTTCTTGTGTTACGTTATTTTTGCTGTTTTGGTGTACTCTTCCGAATGAAGAATTGACTTCTTCGATTTAACTAGCTAGGGTGCTTACCGAAATCCAGAACTAGACACCTAGGTAGTTCAGCTTGAGAATGAAATCAGGTTTTTCCGTTAGCTTTCTCTATCGAAAGGACACATCACTACCGTGCATAGTTTTAGGAAAAGACCGAACTGGTTGATAGAGTTCTGGTTAATAGTCATAATAGTGGATTCTCTTGACGAATGGACTGGTCTGACGAGTCAGGAGCGTAGCGTCCACATACGCACATACGTCCGTGCGTACCGGCTGAAATCTTGAAAATACATTATATTTCATATTCCCTGAAAACATTTTTGTCATTAAATCGGGACGAGAGAGGATAAAGCTCTCTTGATCGGGATAGATTGATAAATCCTTCAATTTACCCGTCTGAAGGGTAGACATCTCGCCCTTTGCTTGTAACCTCCTTAAAGGCGTCACTGTTTTTTACCTTTATTCCGTAAACGTTGCACCCTACCGATAACACTAGAGATGTCGATTAAACAGCTAATTATTGCATTTTCCTTCGTATTTATTATCTGAAAATGGCATTTCTGAGCCCCTGAATTTGAAAAATTTTCCGGGGGAGCATGCCCCCAGACCCCCCTCCCCCGGTTTGCAGGGAGGATCAACCTTTCTTTCCGTGCCGCACCTTCAAACCTCCCGCTACGCTCCTGAGAGTTCTGACTAAGGATAAGGACCTTTAAAACAGACTTTGGTGCCAGTTTGTGACAGTCTTTTGCTGCCGTCTAGAAATGAATTAAATGTGCAAAATCGTTTTTTCCAGAATATTGTATGGTTAAAATTTGTGAAAGAAACAGGGCCAACAGCAGCACAATGGTTAATTATAAAATGATTTACACATCAAGCATGAAATCTGCTTTGCCTTTATAATGTAAACCATTTGCATAGTTTCAGTAAAATCCGATATGGAGGTCCTTTAGAATGTCCCAAAAAAGGATACTTCCAATCCCTTGACACACCAGTTGATGGCTTCTTCGTAGAGATGAAGTTTTACACAAGCACTCGCTCCTAAAAATTAAATATTTTAATAATATGTCGTCCGCGTTCTAGAATCTAATACCCTGTGTGCAGTGGTGTCGCAGCGTCCGGCCCAGAGAAACCACTGCTCGCAGGTACGATAAGGTCTCTGACAAAACATCATGGTAGCCTTAACTTGTACAATCCAAGACCGCGGTCTCTAGAAGTTAGGTATCAGTGTTGTAGTAAAATAACAACTGAAATAGCTTTCCGCTGGTAACAACTACACACTACACACTTTATTACTATTAGAAAATCCAACCACTCGGCTTTCCTAGTTCGAACGGAAAAAAGAGCTCTGGCATCGTCTTTAACAAGCTGCCTTTTCTTGTCGTATGATGGTGATTCCAGCCGGTATAAAAATACTTTAAACAATGACTGGACGCTCAAATGTTCTATCTGTTTAGTTATCCCGCTTTTCTGTTTGTTTTATTTTCACGTAAAATCCCTGAATTTCATTTTTCATTTATTTGTAAAATCAATTGTTCAACAAAGCTGACCAATCAATAGGTAGTATCTACACCTCCGTAAACCTCAAGGAAAATCAACTGAACTGGGTTGATGAATTATTTATCAGTAGAAATAACAAAAACTTTTGATGAAAAAACAAAAACAAACGAAAAAACTCCAGCTCAGTTAATCAGCATTCATTAACTTTTGATACAGATCTCTACTCATATTGTTACATTTCACAAGCACAATAGACAGCATTATATTCGTGTGCCATCTGTATGGGCTTTACAATGGCTCGCCCCCAGCTCGCCAATGTAAACGCCCATATTGATCCCCCGCACATATTTAATCTAGTTCTTAGAAATTACTCACATTAACTCAAAATATCTAGAACACAGACTGACCCAAAATGCAAACAAAACCCACCGTGAAAAGAGCCTTTACCTTTAACTATAGGTTTAATAAAAGTTGGTTCCAAATTTATGGCTGCTTTGGCGTCATTCAAGGTTTCCTGGTTATTTCCTGTTGAGGAAAGAGAACTTTTAATTTTTAAAATAATTGTACTTTTATATTTATGTGTGAAAAAAAAAAAGCGCTGGCGCTGTGGGAAGATGGGAAAAATCGTGCAGTCATTATAGCGAGGAAGCAACAAACCCCTATAATATAGATTGTGTTACGGGAAATCAAAGCAACTTTTTACTGTTTATATAGTTAAAATTCAGTGTTCTCCGCATGTGATGGCTGTGATCACGTGTTGCTAGAAAAGGCTTCGCTTTCGTCATTGAATTTAACAGGCATCAAAAACATTGTATGATGTCAAATGAAGGCCTTTAATTGTCCAACTCAGTGCTTAATTGTTAATAAGACGTAGTAACAGAAACCTAGAATAATTATATAATTGTTAATGTTATGCAATTCACTAATTTTAGGAAACCTAAGCCAGTGGGTACGATACTAACGGCTTTGTCGCAGAAAATCGATCTTTGGGGCTCAATCGAAGCCGCACCTTTTAAAAGTTCACTGTCCGTTGATGTGTCACCTTCGTTCCGGAAAAATAACAATAATAATACATTCTTTATAGAACAAAAACTGTACAGAGAAGGTTAACAACCTTCGTTTTCTGTTGTGTGAGTACAATTTCTCTGTAATTTTCATTTCCATATCTTTGATCAGGGCCTTGAAAATGGAGCATGTTCGGTTTGAGGATTCCATAAGCAGTGACCCAAGCTAAATCGTCCTCAATAACATTCTTTTTTGACATCGATTAGATGGTTTAAATTTACAAATTTTCAGTTCTAGTGTGCTTCTTGTTGTTTTAACTTAAATTTTTGTTTCCAGGTTTGCTTCGGTTTTCTCTCTTGCTGCCAGGCGGTTCATTCACGACAAAGTAACTCAGACCATCAAAGTTCTTTTGATTGGCACTTGTCTGCAGTTTTTTCTCTTTTCATCCATTCTTATGACGGTTTCATCAATTTTTTTTTGGTTTCGTGGTTCGTCACACATCAAATATTTCAGGTCCGTCGACTCATTAAATTTCTTCGCGTATGTTAATAACCTTTTCAAAATCCCTTAACTTAGCAACTGTAAAATTGATTGATAATGTATGAGGAAAACATGAAAGAAGAGAAAATACATATTTAACGAGTGTCTCTAAGTTGGATGAAACATTGTTCTCATTAACATAAAACTTTCCTTCAATTTACTTGGTCAAAAATGCTAGAACTGACAAGGAAGTATTAAAATGAACATTAAGAATAGGCATATTTCATCTCACCAGACTCGAAAAAACATTCGCGTCACATCTGTGTGGTATTTTACAGCGGCTTGCCTTCAACTTGTCATTTTGCAAATGCCCGTAGAGATCTCCCGAAGTAGTTACAATTTTTAGCATGAACTGCGCACATGAACTCACCCAAACAAAAATGAGCTGCTGCTCTGTTGTTGTAGAGCTTTGCATTAAGTTCGTCATCTTCGCAGCTCACGTTAATTCCCTCAGTGTAGAAGTATATGGCATTCCTGAGTTCTCCTTTCCGGTATTCCTTGTTGCCTTCTTGAAAGTACACTTCTGCTATTGCTAAACAAAGAGGACTTGAGTTAGGTTTAGTCTGCTATGAGAGCCAAGTGGCGTTTGAGCCATGGCAAGATATGGCATTTCTATTAGGTAATGTTCGTGTCTTTTGAAAGTCTGTTTTAAGTGTTTTCTTCTTTTTTTTCTCCTCTGTTTCGAAGAGATCAGGGGCACCCAACGACAATTTTCGGAAAATATCTGTTCGGAAGACGATTTGAGATCTAGAATTTTCTGAACATTTTTTGCAAACTTCTTGCTAGTCTGCCTCTCCTAGGATTTTCGAACTTCTAAAAAATGCTATAATTGCCCATTTTTAACGGATTTTTACCCTAAAAAGGTCACCTACAATTTTCGGGAGCCTTTTTTCTGGCTGAAATTTTCGAAAAGGTAAGTTTTGTTGTCTATAATTTTCGAATCACAAGACTTCCAGCTAGGAAATCTGAACAGATGAAAAATTTTTAGGGGATAAAAATATGCCTATATCTACCGTTTAAATACTAAAACACGTTTAACAATGCTATGTTTAAGTGGTTTTGAACTATATTTTCGTTGGTTGCCCCCGAGAGAAAGCCATTGTATGGACGTGGCCATTTTCGGAGGCCGGGTTAGAATGTGTGTTAGCAGTTTAATACTGTAAAACACATAACCTTTTAAGCGCTTAACCAAAAATGCCCTGCAGTTAAAAGACAGATTACCGATTCAAAAATATAGCAATTTCTTACCAAGTATGGTCTCTTTGTCAAAATCGAGTATGCCTTTGTTAGGTGATGTGACGTCATTTTCGACCGAACTCGCCGCCATGAGATTTTTTCTGGAAATTTTTCGCCTTCTGTGACTTCTGTCCGGATCAGTGAGTAGCCGTCTCTTTTCTTCGGTTCAAGCTCTGTTTAACAAAAGTCAGAAAAAGAAACAAAAAAGAAACGAAAACATTCAATATGTATCTGCCAAAAAGTGCTAGAAAAATGTAATCATTTAACCGACGTAAATATTGAGCAGACGTTTACGATGTCTTTTTAAGATAGATATTTTTCATTTTACATTTTTTTAAAAAACCTTAGTGTAAACTATTTGCGAGCAACCCATTCGAAAATGAAACTTACAGTGCCGACGCTTATACGACTTGCCTATCTAATCATTCCGTTTCGGCTTGGTTTATCTCGATAAAATAAATACCATTGGCAGTAAAATAAGACTCACTCTAATATTAAATGAGCCTATGCATAAGTGCAAACACGGTAGCCAAAATAACTCTACATCTCAGTATTATTGTTGTGAATGATACCCAAGGGGTTGTTTATCGTTTGTCTCACAATAACCATTTCGACCGCTTACTACTGGTCTTCATCAGCCGATAATGTACAATTTGCTGTGCGTCACTGTTATCCGTGATTGTTAGTGATGGGCACATTTCGAACCTCACTCATGGGTTTTTGATTTCCATCCTTAGCGTCATTAGTGTTCAGGAATAGCAACTGGCCACTGTTGTACCGATCGGCTGCTGTGGTCAACCTCGTTCCCGAGGTTTCTGTGCGGTGTCTGATTAATTGTGGGCATCCACGCTTCTGGAATCGCAATATAATTCCACTGTCTCTATTGATGTTGTTAAAGTGAAATCGTATGCGGATAGTCTCTTTTACAAGAGAGGATTACCTACGAGGGTCAAAAGGACCCAATGCGGATACTGCCCGGTCGTATTTATGTGTTTACTGTGTTTAGAAACAGCTGAGGTCCGAGTTAGTGAAAGCTATGCCACTCTCTTTTTCGGCCTCAATCCGTTCACGAATGCATTTTCCCGTTTCTTCGATGTACACTTTGCCGCATTCATGAGAAACTATTCCAACTTTTTGTCCTGAGTCAATAGTATCCTTAGGTAGCGCCAGGTTGGAGATTAAACAGATTCATATAAAGGCTTTTAGAGCCGTAGAAACTGTTCGTTTATCAAGTTGAAAATTGACCGTGTTCGACGAGAAACCGAGAAACCGAGAAACCGAGAATGAATATATCTTTTCGATGCTTCTATTTTTCCGGCCAGCTTTGTACGGGGCTTACCAAATATTAATTCGGGTACGGAAAAAATTTAAAGTTCCGCAGTTCATCTTCTTCAACCTTACCTCAACTTACCTCTTGCTGTAACCGCAATGTATTGATAGGACCTACTGTTCTTGTCTCAGTGAGCAAATACAAAAAGCTCTTATATACACATTTGTATCACGTGCGCTTTTAATAAATTTGGTCATTATCAAATTTCTAACTTCCTGCTTTTAAGCAAGGTTTTCAGATTCGAACCTATTTCGGTAAATATTTGCTGTGAATCGAGTATTGAAAGTCACCTTTACCTGCCATGCCAATCTTATCTAACAACCCACAATCTTCAGACACAGGTATGGCTCCCAGAAACAGAAAAATTGTAAGCTGCATCCATTTGACGCGCTTTGCCAGACAATTTGTAGTCGCTGAATGATCATCAATATTCAATATTGGAGGATGATCCTCCAGGGATACTTTATGACAAAGTTTTAACCATCAAGATCTTCATCAGGAATTGGAATTGTTTTGATCTCTGTTTTTGATGGCGTGGCAGTAAAAAAACAAACGCTCATTAAACGGACACCCCCGCGCGCGGTACTTTCCCTCACCAGTGGTGTCCGCTTCAGAGGTCATAATCCAAATTTGTAACTACAGAAAGTATGGGCAATAGCGGAAATCGAGGCTAAAATGGCTCTTGGTATGGGAGAAAACATTTAGAAATGATCCTATTAGCACTAATGTTTTTTAACGCTTAAAGACGGGAAAAGAAAACGGGATAAATTAAAAGACATAAGGGATTGCTACAATTCCGAGTGCCTTGTGATTTGAGTATTTATTGGCCCGTTTACAGTCATACGAAAATCGTTTGAAAATTTTAGCGCCAGCTACAATTGCAAAACCTAGCGCAATTAGAATGACGCAATGAGAGTGTTACGAAGTTAAATTTTGATGATTCCGCTGGACATACTTGCTAGAAATCATCCTGACAAAGTTAACTTCCAAATTCTAAATAATATTGTAACGCCTTAATAGCGACACGGCCTCCAAGGAACCACAGGACACCCAAAGATAGATAAGTGTGTGCAATAAATATGTTATTGACCAAGCGGGAGGTCAAGATGGCTGGATATTGGCCAAGCTTTTTTTTCTTTTTTTTTTGCGTTTTTATTGACCAAGATTAAGAAACAAGGAGGAGGACCCCAGGTAGGTGAGGTAACCCGCTTAGGTAGGGTAACCCGCCTGTCCATATATAGTCCAGCCATATGGTGTAAAAAAAATAGCTGAATTGTCCACTTTGGGGTAAAAGCATCAAACTCGGCACAGTGATAGTACTAGTTGCACTAATTATTTTTCCCTATGGACCCCACTCAAATATGCACGGGGGGGAGGCACATTGTTCCCTTGGGGGGGAGGAGTCATGGCCTTTTTCCTTTGGTCCGGAAAAGACTCAAAAACGGGAAGAAGGCGGCCTAAAAAACTTTTGCATCCCCATTTTCTTCAAAGTAATGCAAGGTAACCCTATAAAATACCTGTTACTTACTTTTCTGAGAGATTTTCTAAAATTATTTTAAAAGAGTGTGTAAGTGATTCTTGTCACAAGGGAAAGCCACGTAGAAGCAAGTTGAGTTCTGAAGGGCGGAATTATTTTGAGTTAAAGCATTACAATATTATACATGCACCCCCTGACACATCAAAACACTTCATTAATATTTTTGAGACTCCTCCTGATGGAACAAACAAGACTGCACTCGGAAGAAACAAAAGGTCACGCTACTCAAGGAAATTTTGCATGGCGGACAGGAATGGCTGGTCTTTTTGCTCTCTCGTTTGTGAGAGACAGTATGCCGTTTTTCACCCTTGGAAAGATAAGATGTTTCATTTTTACACTTTGATTGAAGTGAATTGCACTTTTTGGGAATTTAATTGCTCAGTCAAACTACCGCAAAAATAAAACATGAGACACTTACAGAGACCTTCAACGACATGCAACGGGGAGTTATTAACCACCTTTATTGCAGGCGACAAGAGTAGCCCGCAGTTTTCATCTTCAGGTTATTATAATGCATGCATCGCAGGTATGTAGCCGGCATTCGTTTAGACTTCCACTTATAAGGATGAATGGAATTCACAGAAAGCAATTTGATCTGGATCTTCTCTGGTCACTTAGAATCTGATCACGCGTGTTTGGAACATCTATCAAGTGAAACTTGTGCGAAGCACAGCGTTGGAGTAACAGCGTTTTCATCTTCCATCGTTGTCGCCCTCACTCCGTAACCTTTGGTTTTCTCTTGTTTTCAATAATATATTGATCTCTCTCACACTCTATTGTCCTCTTTTATCAAAAATAAAAGTGCCGAATTGAGGAGAAAAGGATATCTAACATCAGACGTCTGATAACAGTTAAATAACATAACATATAAAATCCGACGTCTGATAACAGTTATATGTCAGCAGACGTCTGATAACAGTTATATGATGTCAGACGTCTGATAACTGTTATATGACAGCAGATTTCTGCTGTCATATATGTTATATAACTGTTATATAGCTGCCATATAACAGTTATATAACATAGTTATGTAACAGTTATATAACTGATAACTGTTTTATGACAGATACCAGTTATATGACAGTTATATGACACTTATATAAAAGCAGACGTCTGATAACAGTTATATGATGTCAGACATCTGATAACAGTTATATGACAGCAGATGTCTGCTGTCATATATCTTATATAACAGTTATATAACTGTTATATATGTTATATAACAGCTATATAACTGTTATATAACGGTTATATATGTTATATAACAGATATATTACATAGTTTTATAACAGTCATATAACCTAGTTATATCACAGTTATATGACTGTTTATATGACATATATAGCTGTTATATAACTGTTATATAACAGCAGTTATATAACTCTTATATGACAGTTATATATGTAATATAACAGTTATATAACTGTTATGTTATATAACAGTTATATATGTTATATTATACAAGTGAACTGTTATATAACATATAACTGTTATATAACTGTTATATAACAGTTCTATAACGGTGATACAACCATTATATAACATATATAAGTATGTTATATAACTGTTATATCACTAGGTTATATAACTGTTATATAACAGTTATATATAAAAACTATATAACTGTTATATAACAGTTGACAGCAGTTATATAACATAGTATGACTGTTATATTACAGTTATATAACAGTTATATCGCTGTTATAAAACTGTTATATGACAGTTATATAGCTGCTTATATGGCTGTTATATAACAGTTATATAGCTGTTATATAACAGTTATATTCGCTGAATGATCATCAATATTCAATATTGGAGGATGATCCTCCAGGGATACTTTATGACAAAGTTTTAACCATCAAGATCTTCATCAGGAATTGGAATTGTTTTGATCTCTGTTTTTGATGGCGTGGCAGTAAAAAAACAAACGCTCATTAAACGGACACCCCCGCGCGCGGTACTTTCCCTCACCAGTGGTGTCCGCTTCAGAGGTCATAATCCAAATTTGTAACTACAGAAAGTATGGGCAATAGCGGAAATCGAGGCTAAAATGGCTCTTGGTATGGGAGAAAACATTTAGAAATGATCCTATTAGCACTAATGTTTTTTAACGCTTAAAGACGGGAAAAGAAAACGGGATAAATTAAAAGACATAAGGGATTGCTACAATTCCGAGTGCCTTGTGATTTGAGTATTTATTGGCCCGTTTACAGTCATACGAAAATCGTTTGAAAATTTTAGCGCCAGCTACAATTGCAAAACCTAGCGCAATTAGAATGACGCAATGAGAGTGTTACGAAGTTAAATTTTGATGATTCCGCTGGACATACTTGCTAGAAATCATCCTGACAAAGTTAACTTCCAAATTCTAAATAATATTGTAACGCCTTAATAGCGACACGGCCTCCAAGGAACCACAGGACACCCAAAGATAGATAAGTGTGTGCAATAAATATGTTATTGACCAAGCGGGAGGTCAAGATGGCTGGATATTGGCCAAGCTTTTTTTTCTTTTTTTTTTGCGTTTTTATTGACCAAGATTAAGAAACAAGGAGGAGGACCCCAGGTAGGTGAGGTAACCCGCTTAGGTAGGGTAACCCGCCTGTCCATATATAGTCCAGCCATATGGTGTAAAAAAAATAGCTGAATTGTCCACTTTGGGGTAAAAGCATCAAACTCGGCACAGTGATAGTACTAGTTGCACTAATTATTTTTCCCTATGGACCCCACTCAAATATGCACGGGGGGGAGGCACATTGTTCCCTTGGGGGGGAGGAGTCATGGCCTTTTTCCTTTGGTCCGGAAAAGACTCAAAAACGGGAAGAAGGCGGCCTAAAAAACTTTTGCATCCCCATTTTCTTCAAAGTAATGCAAGGTAACCCTATAAAATACCTGTTACTTACTTTTCTGAGAGATTTTCTAAAATTATTTTAAAAGAGTGTGTAAGTGATTCTTGTCACAAGGGAAAGCCACGTAGAAGCAAGTTGAGTTCTGAAGGGCGGAATTATTTTGAGTTAAAGCATTACAATATTATACATGCACCCCCTGACACATCAAAACACTTCATTAATATTTTTGAGACTCCTCCTGATGGAACAAACAAGACTGCACTCGGAAGAAACAAAAGGTCACGCTACTCAAGGAAATTTTGCATGGCGGACAGGAATGGCTGGTCTTTTTGCTCTCTCGTTTGTGAGAGACAGTATGCCGTTTTTCACCCTTGGAAAGATAAGATGTTTCATTTTTACACTTTGATTGAAGTGAATTGCACTTTTTGGGAATTTAATTGCTCAGTCAAACTACCGCAAAAATAAAACATGAGACACTTACAGAGACCTTCAACGACATGCAACGGGGAGTTATTAACCACCTTTATTGCAGGCGACAAGAGTAGCCCGCAGTTTTCATCTTCAGGTTATTATAATGCATGCATCGCAGGTATGTAGCCGGCATTCGTTTAGACTTCCACTTATAAGGATGAATGGAATTCACAGAAAGCAATTTGATCTGGATCTTCTCTGGTCACTTAGAATCTGATCACGCGTGTTTGGAACATCTATCAAGTGAAACTTGTGCGAAGCACAGCGTTGGAGTAACAGCGTTTTCATCTTCCATCGTTGTCGCCCTCACTCCGTAACCTTTGGTTTTCTCTTGTTTTCAATAATATATTGATCTCTCTCACACTCTATTGTCCTCTTTTATCAAAAATAAAAGTGCCGAATTGAGGAGAAAAGGATATCTAACATCAGACGTCTGATAACAGTTAAATAACATAACATATAAAATCCGACGTCTGATAACAGTTATATGTCAGCAGACGTCTGATAACAGTTATATGATGTCAGACGTCTGATAACTGTTATATGACAGCAGATTTCTGCTGTCATATATGTTATATAACTGTTATATAGCTGCCATATAA